CAAGTTTAAGAATTTTCCCATAATATGAAATGTGTATTCATAACATCGAGCAGCCAACTTTGAAAGTTTAAAATAATGGGTTTGGATTGTTTTAGGGTTCTTGGATTAGGATATTAGGTGGAAAAAAGCCTAGTGTTGATAGAATTGTTTTTCCTCTTCTTTATGAGGTATTATTATAAAATATATACACCCATTGTACATTTATAATTATTTTATATTTATACAAGTAAATATAGTGGTCATTATGAGTTATCTAACCTCTACATGACTTTTCTAAGATTATACAAACATATATAATTGTCGAAGAGAAGATTATTACTATTATATTACTGAACATCCCAACCAATCTTTTCTTATTACTATTATATTACTGAACATCCCAACCAATCTTCTCTTTAATTATTCACAACAGCCAACCACAAATCCAGGAAAGCAAAACTAGTAATATATAAAACAGTGATTGACCGGTTGTTTTGGATGGCTGTGAGATGAAGACTATGACCAAGGAGAACGCCTTGCTGGTCTGGGAGAGCAGAGTACTTAGGAAGATCTTTGGATCTGTCAGAGAGCAGAATAGATGGAGAATAAGAAGTAACACAGAGTTAATGGAATTATATGGTAAGCCAGATATCCTTAGTGTTATTAAGAAGCACAGATTCAGATGGCTGGGTCATGTTGAAAGAATGGATCTCTGTAGACTTCCAAAAATGATGCTGAATGGTACTCCAGGAGAGAAAAGACAAAGATTTAGACCCAGGCACCGACAGTTGGATGATCTGGAGGAAGACTTGAGGAGGCTGGGGATCAGATATTGCTGCGGACCTTGAGGAGTGGAAGAGAGTGGTGGCAGAGGCCCACAAGGACTATAGTGCCCATTGAAAAAGAAGTCAACCACCAACCCAAAACTAAAATATAATTTTCATTTTGTAATTGGAATTTCCATATATATATATATATATATATATATATATATATATATATATATATATATATAATATATATATATATATATATATATATATACATATATATATACACACATAAAATGGGCACTATTTCACAAAAAAAGGAAAATAGTTTCAAAATTAATTAAACAATCTTTACACATTAAAAAAAATAGCTAACTTCTTTTAAATGTTTGTAACCTATAAATGAGATTTCAAATAGAATCTTGAATAAACTATATTTCAGTATTAGATTAATAGAAAATTAACAATATAACTAAAATAATATAATTAAAAGGGAAAAAATGATAAGCAAAGACTTTCTAAAAAAGCAAATTACAAGGCTATGTAATGTAATTTATATAAGTTCTTTAGCTTTTTATGTTTATACATTTCAAAGGTATAGCATTATTGACAATATTCCATATATATTAATATTGCCTTTATGATAACGAGGACTGATTTCAAATTATTGTTAATTTATGTATAAAATTGGATGTACTTGGATGATAATGAAATTTAGTTTATATTTGGAAACAAAGTTGGAGTGAAAATTATTTGATTTGCAATTTTTGTTATGTAACAATAAAAGAATTAATGAAAAATACAACCAAATATTTGTGGTTAGATTTTCAATAATTCTTATATCAACACTGTAAGATTTCACAATATAATGTAAATTTATATTAATAAAATTCTTGTTTGGCATTATCTACTTTCATTTATGATTACTATTTATTATCTTTGATATCCAAAGGCATATGAAATTATTTCTTTCATAACTAATTTCAAAAGCTTGTTGCTTAATATTTAAGATATATATAGTAAAACTAAATTATAAGCACAATAGAAACGTCAAATATATATTATGCTGAATATATCAAAAAGTTTTAACTTTTAACTGCATTTTTACAAAGTGATTAAATAGTTGCTTATATTCATACCCTCATATAACTATTGCAACTTACCATACCTCTATCAACATCAAACCTAATCTGATCCTAAAACAGAAAAAGTTAATGTTGGAGTGCGGTTAATATATAAAATACTACATCATATAATAGTATGTTCATTGCATTATCCAAAGTTTCGACCTACATTGTAGGTATTCTTCAGAGCTAAAAGATACAAACAATATATGTTAATTTTTACAATGTAGAATAAATGATAAGTAAAATATTTGTTGATATTGAAATAGTACAACTTCTTAGAGAAAGTGGTGTGGAAATCTCAAGATATCATATGTGATGAGGTACAATTTCAGTATGCGATATCTTGATATTTCTATAATTACTTTCTCTTATAAGTTGTGCTATTTCAGTATCAACAAACATTTTACTTATCATTTATTACACCCTGTAACAATTAATATATATTGTTTGTATCTTTTTAACCTTGAAGAAGACCTACAATGTAGGTTGAAACATTGGACAATGATATAAACATACAATTATATAATGTAGTATTTTATATATTGATCACATCCCAGACTAACTTCTTCTGAAATTAGAATCTACAGTCAACCATCTCCACACCATTCTGATCTTAAAACATTTGAAATTGTATTCCTCCATCAGTCATTTGAATACTCTCCTCACATTTAAATCCTCCATATTTAACTCTATATTTTATTCACCCAGTTTCTTAAAAAATGTAAATAGACCAGAATCCAGCAGTAAAAAAACTTAATATCAATAATACATTATTCATTAATGAAATTGAATGTATTGTTTGAGGATTTGAAAAGTTCCAAGGGAATCTATCTTAAACACTTTGGTTTAAGGTACCACATAAATAATTATATAAAATTTAAAAATCACAAGAGGTAAACTATATACTCCAAACATCAAAGGGCGATGGATTGACTCCTAGCCCCACTCACTTTTTGGATTTTCAAATATCAGGTGGGGGGGGGAGAGGTTGATGGCTCTATCCCCCAATATCTACATCTCTGATGAGGTCTATACCACTAGTGGATCCAGGATTTAATTTGGGGGGGAGGCTTCAGCCCGAAGGCTTTTTTTTCATATACATAACGATAATTAATTTGAAAAATAAAAATAAAGAAACTAACTACCCATATGGCATGGTGTCTTAGTTATTCTTGAAGTCCTATTAAATGTAATCAGTAACAATAATCATTTTAGAGATAGTTTTAAATATTTTTTTCTACAAAACATGGTTATATTTTAGCATATTGGGGGGAGGCTTCAGCCCAAAAGCCCCTTCCCCTGTAGATTCGCCTTTGGTCTATAGTAAGACGATAAAGACGTTATTCTGCCTAATT